TGTTTCAACAAAGAAAAAAGAAAAAAAGATGGTTTTACAGCTATGTCAGGTTAACATTTGAAAGGAAATTTTTTTCAAGAGTTAGGAAATTGGTTCTTCTTTATTGGCTCTTAGTGTTCCTTTCTCACATATTAATTCCAAGAATGTGTTTGGAAGTATGTATTCTTTTTCAGTACTGAGTGACTGGTAGAAAATGATGGAGTCCTGATCCAGATTAGGTTTAGCATGGAGGTTAGCAGTCAGCAGTTCTGAAGCAGAAAGGTGAAGCTGCCTTCTTGGCACAGTCTACAGTGAAGCCCAATGGAATGTCTTCATAAATTGGAATCAATTCCATAGCATGGGGTTCAGTTTTGATTCTATAGTATAAAATTAGTGATTAAATGGAGCAATGTCTTGCTCTAATACTTTAATTACAAATTTTTTTTTATTTGTTAAGGCAATTACTTTTCACTTCCAAAAATGGCCAAGCTAATCTTACTTATTCAAGCTCAACATCAGCATTAAATGTATATGCTCCCCCCACCCCAAACACACACACTAAATCCTTTTGGAAATTAAAATTTGGGAAAAATTTAGATTCATGTTATTTCTGCTCAGTTTTTAAGTAGTTTTCTTTTAATATGAGTTTTTGAGATTATTAAGCATTTCTTCTTTGTTGAGTGAGATCCTTTTAATTTTAATTCTTTGTTGCTGTTTTTACCTTATAAACCAACTCTTGCTTTCATTACCCAGAATTTCTAGAAAAGAAATTGCCATCAAGCACTCTGAACTTTTTTCATGCTTCCTTGGCTCCTCAGCCTAACAGAAGCTGGAAGGGAGCTAGGCTGGCTCTACCTGGAACCCACATGCTGAACATTGCCAGCTCAGTCTCTCTCATGATCCTCAGTCATCCTCGATGATGATCTCATTATATAACCCGTCTCAGTTCCCTAAGTGTTCCCACTGCACTGGGCCCACATCCTGGCATGTCACTAGCTCCCATCCCATGTTCAACCCTGTTTATGGCCCCCTGGTCGGTAAACACGTTTGAGGGGCCAAGGAGGTTAGGGGTACAATAATGCCAGAGATAGGGAAAATTTTCAACTAGGTTAGCCTGTGTCCCAGAGGACACAGCTAGCTTGGCGGAGTTGGGAGCAGGACACTCAGGCCTGAGGGGAGAGGGCTCTGGCTCTGGGCTGAGAGGATGGTGAGGCAGCAGCAGGAGAGGAGGATTTGTGCAGCCTGGCCTGAGCCCTGCCAGCCTGCCTTTCCTCCTCTGCCCTCTATGAAGGCAGCATGGTTGGCTGCTGCAGGGGCCCTGGAAGGTGTCTGACCAGACTGGGAACCACCAATTCCTTGGGTTTGTCTCAGTCTAAGGACTGTTTGGTTTGGGATGTCATTCTTGAAGGTTAAGGCTCCTCTGAGAAACCAGCTGATAGGCTCAAACCCTGAGGAGTGCAGGCATCCAGGCTATGGAACCAACCAAGCCTTCCTGCCTAAGGGGGAATGGAGGAAGAGCACAGGTAAAGCCCACAGACAGCAGAAAGCTAAGGCAGCCTGCTCCCAGAGATGAACTTCTTAGAAACTCCAAGGGGCAGCTTCCCTGTCCTAGAGTTGCTATAAGTGAAAGTGGACTAGGCAATGGGTGAGGAAGACCAGAATAATTCACTATATGACAGTTATATTTGCGTTTCAGGAAAAATGCGATGCTTTTCTAACCCAGCATGCCTTGGGAAACTGCCCGTTCTATCCATGAATTTCATTGGAATTCCTGAGTCACACTTGAGCTTTCTGACTGAAGATTCTGGGACATTCAAGGGTTACCAATGATGAACAGATATTAATGCACTTGGAACTGGTCAGAATTCCAACTCCCTCCCTCCCCGCCCCCCCGCCCTGAGCAGTTTTTTCATCAGCCACTCAGTGTCATGGTTGAACATAGCCAGACTCTTCCCACTGGCTCCTCAGCCATCAGACAAGAAAAAGCCTTACCCAACCTACTGCCATGGAATTGGTTCCAGGACAAAGCAGAACTGCCTCACAGGATTTTCAAGGGTATAATCACCTGATTGTTAACTTTAGTTTGCTTGGCTACATGGTCAATACTCTTGGCACCAACAGCCAGGGAATCAAAAAACGTATTGTGATGGGAAAGTCTGCTATTAGGGACCTCTCCAGGGTCCTGAAGAGCAATGGTGTCACTCTGGAGACTAAGGTGTGTCTGATACAGGCTATGGTCTTTGCAATCACTTGTTATGCATCAGAGAGTTGGACAATGACTAGGGAGGATAGAAGGAGAATTGACACCTTTGAGCTGTGGTGCTAGAGAAGAGTACTGAATGTACCATGGACTGCCAAGGATTCTGGGGCTTCATCTGACATACTTTGGACATGTTGTAAGGAGGGACAGGTCCTTGGAGAGAGACACCAGGGTGTAGGGACGGCATAGAAGAGGAAGACCCTCTATGAGGTGGACTGATTCAGGGACTGGGGTAATCGCATGGGTGTGTCAGAGGCATTGCGACTGGCACAGGATAGAGCAGGATTTAGGGCTGTTGTACATAGGGTCACTATGAGTCGCAAGCAACTCGACAGGACATAACAACAACAGTCACCTGATGACCTAGTGGTAAGGAGATGCACTGCCAACCCAAAAGTTCAAATCCACCAGCTACTCCCTGGGAGAAAAATTGGCAGTATCCTCCTATGCCATTTAGAGCCTCTGAAAACTTGCTGGAGGGTAAATGAGTCAGTTCTGATGGCACATAACCACCAGTACAACAATCTTTCCAGAAGCAAACTGCTCCATCTTCCCTGGGTTTGAACTGCCCGCTTTTGTTTACCAGCTGAGTAATTAGTGCATCAGCAAGGCTATCCTTAAACCTTGTAGACTGAAAAAAGGCAAGGTAAGCTCCACTTGTGTACATCACATTATCAGAAGGAAATGCCCGTCTCCTTTGTATGAACGGAAATAAATTTTTAACCAAAAGTGCATGCAAGCTGGGTTAAATGTTAAAAGGAAACACTTAAAAAAAGAAATAAAATTTTCACTACAACAAGATAAACCACCCAGTTGAAAAATGGGTACAGGATATGAACAGACACGTCACCAAAGAAGACATTCAGAAAGCAAACACACACATGAAGAAATGTTCAAAATCCCTAGCTCTAAGAGAGATGCAAATCAAAACAATTATGAGATATCATCTCACCCCAGTAAGAATAGCAAAATTTAACAGAATAACAAATAACAAATGCTGGAGAGGTTGTGGAGAAACAGGAACCCTTACTCACTGTTGGTGGGAGTGTAAAATGGTGCAACCACTCTGGAAGGCAGTATGGTGCTTTCTCAAAAGGTTGGAAATACAAATAACATTTGACCCAGCAATTCCACTACTGGCAATATACCCTAAAGAAACCATAACTGCTACCCACATAGATATATGCACACCCATGTTTTTTTGTGGCTTTGGTCACAATAGCAAAGAGTTTGAAACAACCTAAGTGCCCATCAACAAGCAAATGGATAGAGAAGCTGTGGTATATTCACACAATGGAATACTATGCTGCATTGAAAAACAAGGAACTCATGATTTATTATATAAAATGGGTGACCTTGGAGGACATTATGCTGAGTGAAATATCTCAATCACAAAAGGACAAATACTGCATAGTGACACTGCTGTAAAGCAGGACTGATATCGGGGTTGGGGGAAACTAAGAAAAGGGGATAATGTATACTGCATTGAAACAGATGAGGGAGAGAACTGTTTAGGAGGAATATATGATTAGGTATTATTGTCATGACAAGAGTCCAGAATGAAAGTTGCATAGTGGAGTGGAATGGGGGAGGGGGGGATTGTATGACAATGAAAGAATTTTTTTTTACTTTTCTAAGAGAAAAGCAAACTGAGGCAGGGGTGGGCAGGGAGGAGAGTGTGCAACAATAAATGAATGGAAATCCAAAGTCTCTGTAAACTCATTAAAAAAAAATTAGTTTGGTGGCCTAGCAGTAAGAAGCTGCACATGGTTCAAAACCACCAGCTGCTCCATGGGAGGATGGACAGTCTCCTCTTATGTGATTTACAGCCTCTGAAAACCCACTGGAGGATCGTCTATGAATCATTTCTAACTCAATAGCACATAACATCTCCTCACAGGGCTCTTTTAAGGATTAAATGAAATAATATAATTCTTTTGCATGTAGGAAAAAAAATCAGCTACTTTTTGATTTAATTAATGTTATTATTGATAGAGATTCTTGTGCTGATAAATTTACTATTTAGCATACCTGTAATCAGGTCCTCTAACCAAGGCAGAGGACAGAGCAATCCTTAGGAGAGGCAGTTAGGGCCCTCGATGAAACTGACACACTTTCAGGTTTCCTTAAGACCTTTATTACCATCCAAACATACCTTCCTTTGGGAAAAGCATAATCTCATATTTCCTTGGGATACAGGTTTTCCATTTTTCCCAGGACTCCTCTTTCATGGAAACCCTCTACTCAGGAACAAGGCTCTGAAGCTTGTTTTCTCTTTTTTGGGTAAGGGAAAGTCTAGAGCTCTGCCAACTGCAGAATAAATCAGACTTTATTATTTAATTGGGCTGACTAGCTCACTATTCCCTTAAGTTAGTCACCAGTACCCTAAGGGTTCACTGGTATGTGTAGCCAGTTAGTGAGCCCTCCTGTCAGGCCACTGTGGTGGCAGAACTAGACTGTTCGTGGCCTTCCAGCCACAGCCTTCAGGAGTGTCTTTTGTTGTGTAACTGTCGGTGTGACACAAATTTGGACAAATTACCTGAGGAGGTGCCCCTTGGAATAGGCTAGGAGAATTCCACACTGACTTGGCTTTGTTTTGTGCAAGCCCTTTGTTGCCTCTCCATTTCCCTGACAATGATAAAACCCTTTCTTCTTTAAATACCTTAAAAACAAAGAGATGGTTTGGTCAGTTAAGGAAGATAGTTCATAAAGGAGGATTCTCCAATCTGTCGCCATACCTGAGTCAGAGAAATCTCTGTCTCTATCCAGTGTGAGTCCTTTGATGGCTCATAAGGCGTGAACTCCGAGAAAAGCTTTCTCCACATTCAGAACATTTATAGGGTCTCTCTCCTGTGTGGGTTCTCAAGTGACGAATCCGATTGGAGCTGTGGGAGAAGCGGTCTCCACACTCCTGACAGGTGTATGGTTTTTCTCCTGTGTGGATTCTCTGGTGCCTGATTAAGTTGGATCTGTGAGAGAAGTTTTCCCCACAAAGGGTACATTTATATGGTTTCTCTCCCGTGTGCGTTCTCTGATGTCTGGTGAGATGCATACCCTGCCCAAAGCTTTTCCCACAAGTCAAACATTCAAAGAGCTTCTTGTCTGCTTTGGGGGCTCCGTGACTGGGAAGGAATGGGGTGCAAGCATTCACTGCTTCTCTGCACTCAGAGAAGGGGTAAAGTCTCTCTCTTTCATGAGTTCGTTCATGGATGACAAGGTGTGAGCTACGGGAGAAACTTTTCCCACACTCCGAACACTTATAGGGCCTCTCTCCTGTGTGAATTCTCTGGTGCCTGAGAAGGTTGGAACTGTGAGCAAAGATCTCCCCGCACTCAGGACACTTGTAGGGCTTTTCACCTGTGTGTGTTCTCTGGTGTCGGTGGAGGTTGGAGTTACAAGAGAAGCTTTTTCCACATACATTACACTGATAGGGCTTTTCGCCCGTGTGTGTGCGCTGATGGCGAGTGAGGTGGGTGTTCTGACTGAAGCTTTTCCCACATTCCAGGCACTTATGGGCCTCCTCGCCCAAGTGTGCTCTGTGTAGTGATAGAAAACGTGGGTTTCCCCCAAAGATGTCGCTGCACTCTACCCCCATGCACAGTCTTTCTGCTGCATGTATTCTCTGGTGCCTAATTAGGTTTGAGTTGTTAGAGAAATTCTTGCCACACAAGGGGCATAAATGGAGTTTCTTTGGGGGTGGTTCTTTTGGTTGGCCTAGTTCTCTGCAGTTGTTGGTCCTACCAGAGGACTGCTGCATGTGATTCTCTGCAGGAAGGTCCCAGTGCCCTTCTGACCTGTCATGAGGTTGTCCCTGTGCAGGACTCCAGGGCACCTCCCCTCTGGCCTGGCCAGGCAGCTCCTGTGGGTGTGTGTTGTCAGGGTGGTTCTCTGTGGTATCCTCCTGGTTCACAAACTTCTCTTCCCCTGTAGAGTGAAAGGAAGCAAATGTTTATTTTTGTTATTTCCTACTGGAGAAGATGAAATCTCACCCATCTTTCCTTCTGAGAGACATCTAGTTGGATAAGGTCTAGGATAAGTACTCTAAGAATCAGGGTTCAGTCTTGGAATTCTCTTTAGAGGGCTCCACCCACCTCTTTGAAGAGACCCTGGTTTCTGCCCTTCAGGAAGGGGTGCAATGGAGCAGGGTTGGACCTCTGGAGGGGTAAATCCAAAAGGGAGAGTCAAGTCTCTTATATTTTTTACCCTGGTCCCTAACATTCTTCATTTTAGTCTTAGTCCTGGAATCCTGGAATGCAAAGTGAGCAGCAGGGACACAGGAAGCAATGAACCTCTGGGTAGCCCCCCCTTGAGCAGCCCAGTACACAATACCACAAATGTCTCTCTCTCACTAATCTTTCTTACCTGAAGCTGGGCTTCTGGGGCTTGGGGCCATCTTGCAAGCATGGACCCTAGGATCCCATTGTTTTCCACCTTGTTCCACCTGGGTGCTCGAGGCCTCCTGATGGAGAACAGGAGACTCTGTTCATAGCAAAAGAAAAAGAACATCACCAGAACTTTTCTCTTATGGGGCAAAGAGTCCCTAATCCCTTCCCTCAACAGCTGGATACTGAATATTGGCTTACTAAATCTGGCAGCAAACACTCAGCTAACAGACTTAACTCTCAAGTGGTCCTATCTCTAGATAGGGGAGGGAGAGGACAGCACTGAAAAACAAACTGCAAAGCACCTATTACTTAAGACTTCTGAGCACTGTGAATGTATACTTTTGAAATAAAAAACAACAAAAACCCCCACCCTTTCCATCTCTTATAACCATCAAAGAATACCTCTTTCTGTATATAACCATCTCCTTAGTTTTTTATAATGGTGGACTCATACACTATTTGTCCTTTTGCAGCTGACTTATTTTACTCAGCATAATAATTATCAGTATACAGACAACAGGCATGTTTTTAAGATGGGTGAAGGAAAGGCAATCAATATAGAATAAGGGAATGATCAGCACAGTATGACTAAAGAAAGGGAAGACATGAAAAAGTACACAAGTGGGAAAAGTGGCTGCAATGTGGGTACTAAAATTAATCAGTGAAGAAATTAAAGGACAGACCATAACAAAAGAACCTGAGCCTCTGAGAAGTTATGGTGAAAACCATCAAAGGGCCACCACTGTGCTGTGTAAAAAAACAAAGCCATACCATTGCCAGTGAACATGGATTTCAAAAAGAAGTCTAAATCAAGAAATGTGATCTGACCTCCTCCGCATATGTGACTCACTCACTGCCATCAATTTGAGATTCATAGCTGACTCTCCATTGGGTGCTAGACATAGGGAGCTCTGGTGGCCCAATATACACAGAAGGTGTGCTGCCAGCACAAAGGTGCAAAGTTTTAATCCACCTGTTGCTCCCTGGGAGAAAGATGGGAATTCTCCTCCTGTGCAACTTACAGCGTCTGGAAACCTGCTAGAGGTCAGCTTGAGCCATCCTCTAAACAACAGTTACAACTCAAAGGTGGTACCACTTAGCAGTTTCAAGGGCAAAAAAAGGGTAGCTTACTCTCATGTGATTTACAGCCTATGAAAACTCCCTGGAGGGTCAGATCTGAGCCAGTGCCATATCGATGGCAAAGAGTCTGAATTTTTGTTTTGTTAGGAGAGAATGGCTATGGAGAATCGAAGACAGTCCCAATAAATGAACAAAAGCTGGCAGTAAGCGTCTTTGCCATCACTGGTATAAATGAATTGACAGCTGTTCTCTTTATGTAGAGCAGGTGTAGAGAGCCAAAGTACATTTCTTTGTAGTGGTGGGCTTCTGCAGAATCATATTCTTGTGTTTGTAAACACACAGGAAAGTTAAAAGACATTTACAAGGAATACCTGAATACCTTCATCAAAACCCAATGGTAAGAATTTTTTTTTAATTTCTGTAGAATAGCTTACCACACAAGTGTACTTGAATTTATGTTCAAGTTATTAAGCCCTATGCATTGTTCTCAAATTCTTAAACGATAACTACTGCATGATGAACCACCCCAAGTACACAGACCTTCCTTTCTGAAGTTTTACAGATTGTTGATACTGTGAAGTTTGATGTTGATGCTCTAAAGTGTGCTTTAATGGAGGGTACAGAATATTAACAGAGCACATACAGTAAGAGAGTTCAGCAGAATGAACATTTCAAAATTTCAAGGAATCAAAAGCCAGGGCACAGTGTGTGTGTGACTACAGAAGGTAAAATCACTGGATTTGATTCACAGGTGTCCTTTGCTTAACTGTGCTCTGAATATTGCATTTTTACAAACTGAAGGTGCTGTTTTTCTAATAGATGTGCTCATTTTGTATCTCTACTGTTTAGTAATTCTCAAAATATTTCAAACCTTGTAATCATTCTATTACACACTTCACAGACTATAGTTTCATCTGCACTAGGAAACAAAAAAATGTTGTGACATGCTTCACTGCTGTGGACCAGAATCTAACCCAAAATATCTCCAAGGTCTGTCTGTATTTGCCCTCCAAAGTCCATTATGGTCCAGGTGCCCTGCCTTGGCTCTAGCAGCTGGGGCTCAAGTCTAGGGCTGCCTATCAGTGTGCTAGCTGGACCACTGACATGGGTTTACTTGATTCTAGTCAAGGAGCCTGTGGGTAAATGATGTCGCCTGTGGAAGCTTTTGCCAAAAGTTTCTAAGGAATAGGTCCTTATCATAATGGCTCAGCCTTTATCCCTAGGGGGAGAAAAAACAAAAAAAAATTCTTACCCAGTAAGTCCATGTTTTCATAATTTTCCTGTCCTGTGTCCCTGGCAAGGGTCCTCTTATTAGGCTCCTGATGTCCCCACTCTTCCTGAGAGATGTACATAGCCACGTCCTCTAAGCTCTCTGGCAACTGAAACAACACATGGCCTTTAACCCCTGATGCCCCCAAAACTTCAAGAAGAGACAAAAATTAAAGGGCCAAACACTGGGGGAACCCAGAACACATTTTATGGAGAAGAGAGTACCAGCCCTACAAGATAGGTGTGGAGGAGACACAGAAGGTTGGGAGGGAGAAAGGATCCTCTGCTAATGATAGGAAATGCCCTGCCCCCAAAGGAGGCGTGCTCCCAGGAAGAGGAGGAAGGGCACTGGGGGATAAAGTGGGGAGGCAACAGAAACCTCCATATCACCTGGGGCCCGGTCACTTCCTTGTCTTCTGTGTTCCCTTCAGGAGGAAAGAGAGAAAGCCAGGGAGCAGACAATGCTGAAGGTGACAGAAAGCACAATGAAAATGCATCCCTAACTTCTGATGTCTCCTAGAGGACTATCACAACACTGTATCCATTTCCCAACACCCACTCTGTTTTCAGGACTGCAGACAAAGGCCCCACATAAGAGAGGCCTCCTCCCCCAACCCAAGAGAATCCAATCCACCATTTCCCAGACCCTTCCCTGCACATCTAAGGGCCTGGACTTCAGCAATCCCTTGTCCAAGGCCTCTGGTGCCAGGGCCAGTCTGGGAACCCCTTGCCCTCCCACTTGCCCCGTAACTGTTCCTCACCCCTCTCCTTTACAGCCTGGGGGTCCCTTTGGGGGCTAGGGCCTAGCAGCTCCTGCAGCCTGGGGCCAGGGCTTCGCTCAGTCTCCATGGGCTCCAGCTTGAAGCTCGGCGACTCTCGGACAGATTCCAGAGGCAAAGGCTCCTCCAAAAGCACTGCTGTTCCCCGCCCATGGTTTGTGACCTGGGGACCAACCCACATCACTCATCATCACAACAGCCCAAGGAAAAGGGAGACCTGCACAGGATCCCGAAGGCAGATCTTGAAGAGAAAGAGCTATCCCTCTGAACTCAGCAAGAGAGAGACGTGATTGAAATGGAACACTCCTTTGATCCCTGATCCCATGCATGTAAGTGGAAATATATGTGGTCTGCTTCTAAAACATGTACCCTCTGTTCCTCCAGCCCATCTTTTCTGATGTTTCCATTTCTCACTGTTAGATACTCTGGGTGGCACTGGGGACAGGGACCTCAAAGCTTCTCTGTTTTTTTTTTTGTTTTGTTTTGTTTTGTTTTTTTTCTGTTCTAAATTCAGTTACTGAGATCCAACTCTGCAAAGAAAGTTTTGTATGCGAGATCAGAGCTGTTTATATGGCTCTCCTGATCTTCCAAACAGCCCTCAAACTCACTGCCACTAGGCTCATTCCATTACAGAGAGTGACCCTGGAGGGCAGAGTAGATTTGTTCCATACGGATTCTGAGATTAAATTGGAACACGAGGAGACTGTCCATCTTTCTTTGGGGAGGTTAGCGGATTCCAATCTCTGACTTTTGGTTAGCAGCCCAACATTTAACTCACTATGCCACCAGGGCTTCTTAACACAAAACTTGAAGGGTATTTTATCATCCCCATCTAACCACTGGCAAACTGAGAGCCAGAGAGAGAACGTATACTGGCAAGGTTAGTAATTTAGGGAGCGGGGTGAAGTTTTAATCTCGGCGACCCAACTCCAGAACTCACACTAGTAAGTGCAATCATGTGAGAAGGTACTTTACTGCTTACTCTATTCATCTAGGGGTCACTGGAAGGGGAATGTTCCAGATTAAACGGGAAAACGACCCTTTCAGGGCAAGCTAATGGACAGTAACTAAACAGGCAAACATTCCAGTCGTTGGGGCCCACTAAAGCACAGTTAGATCCGCTCTCTCTTACCTGCTGCCTTAGTCTCCCCATCTCTCTCTGCACATCCTCTACAAGCGTGACGGCTTTTTCACTGTTCTCTGGATGCAGCTCCTGCACCTTGCTCTGGATCTCCGGGGGCAGAATGTTCAGGAACTGCTCCAGCACCAGCAGCTCCAGAATCTGCTCTTTGGTGCGCAACTCGGGCTGCAGCCACTCATGGCAGAGCTCCTGGAGCCGGCCGAGGGCTTCTCGGGGACCAGCGGCCTCTTGGAAGCGGAACTGTCGGAAGCGCAGGTGAGCGGACTGTAGACAGGAGTCTCGGTCGGGTGTAGGCAGCTCCTGGCTCCAAGCGGAGTCTTCCTCCAGTTTCACTATCAAAAGCCCTTCCTGCTCCTGGGAGCCAGGGGCTGATGCCATCATCAGGCTCCTGGAGCGCCTCGGCCTCTGAAGCAGGTGCACCCTTCTGGAAAGATGTACAGAGCCCCGTGCGAGGATGGACTGCGGCAGCAGCACCTGGCGGGCTAGGATCCCTAGGTTTCAGTAGGGAATCGAGGCTCTTGCCTGGGTACCGCAGGCTCCGGTGCCTTAGCTGCGTCGGAGGCCGACGACTCAGAGCCCCCTCCGAGGCCTAGGAGAAGCTGGACCCAGAACCCAGACACCACCCGTTCAGCCCTCCTAGCGGAAGTCCCCGCGCGCGAGATAGGCGTCAACAAGGCAAGACGACTCTGAACTAATTTCCGGGTGACGTTTTTCCTGTGTCCAACGCCCATTGGGTGAGATCGCGCCACACTCACTGCCGACCAATGAAAAGATAATATTTGCCTAACGGATGAACGTGAGTCCTATGGAGAGACGAGAGGCGGGGCCATTAGGCAAAACCCTCGAAACTTAGGAGGCGGTTTAGGTCGGGTACGTCGCGCTGGGGGAGTCTAAGGGGTGGTTTCCCCCAGCTCTAATGTGTGCCTTTAAAGAAGAAAAAAAAAAAAATCATTCACTGTTTGACATTTTCCTCCCTCCTCTCCCAATCCACCTCGTGTCCCAGATTGTCATACATATAATGCTTGCCTTTTTAGAGAAATTGTAAACTCGAATCTGTAGTGAACTTGAGTCAAAATCTCAAAAACTCATGTATTGAAATGCTATCTTTGAGCCCCGTGATATCCACTGCATCTGTATCGAGGGTGATTTTGCGGTGCTAACCAGAGGTCTGTGGCTCGAATCCACCAGATACTCCTCACTAGAGAGATGAAGCAGGTTGTTTTGGTAAATATTTAAGACCTTGCAAACTCTAAAGGATAATTCTACTTTGTTCGATATAGTCACTGAGTCGAGGCAGCATTTGTGTGTGTAGTTTGGACTCCCCCCGCCCCCCACACCCGGGAAAGTAGTTCTAGGGGAAACAAGTTGCACTGTCAACCCAATAGCTGGCGGTTTAAATCCACCAGCTACACTGCAGGAGAAAAATGGGCAATCTCCTGCGATTCACAATCTCTGAAACTCGGGCAGAGGATCAACTGGTTCTGACTGGACCCCTACATTCACATAAAATTAGACGGAAACCGTGCTCTAAGCAGCAATTTCCAAAACACGAGGTTCGAATCCACCAGCTGCTCCCAAGGAGAAGGATGGGCAATATCCACATCATTAAATGGCCTCTGAGAGCTTACTGGAGGGTCAGTTAATACCACAGGACACAACAAGAACAAGGCTGAAAAGAGATAGCCCCCCTAGCCCCATCTCGCCACTGCAGCTGGGAGTCACCGGAAGCGCCCCCTTGGTCCAACATCTTCTAGGCCGGCCCCCAGCATCCGGCTGGGCGCAGGGCTTGCCGGGAGATGTAGTCCACGGTACCCACTGTTTACTGTTTGTCTTGGGCGACAAAAGAGTACCCGGCCCGCAATGTCTAGTTTTTTATTCATTATTTAAGGCCACCTGAACCGGGCCATACTTCTGGTACTCCAAATGCTCAAGAGTTCAGGGAACAATTTAAATAGTCAGCCTTGTGAGATCGAATCATTCTCATCTCTTTAGACTAGAAGAGAGCATTCTTCACGATGGACGCATAAAGGGAACTCCGTAACACCCATTCCTGGGTTGACGCAGTTGAGATTTTCACCTCATAACCACTTGTCTCTGCCATAGACTGTATGTTGTTGCTATTTATCACCAACAGACCCATAGAACAGACCCATAGCTCCGGTGGGTTTTCAGTAGCAGTTAATCGCACGGGAAGTGATTGTCCATCTTTGTCCTTTGGAGCAGCTGGTGGCCTAGAACTGTGGGTTTTGGAATTTCAGCGCACTTCTTAACCCCTAGGCCCTCAGAGCACCCTATAGACTATGATTACACTCTCCTAATCTTTAAAGTCCAGTTCTCTCGTCCATTACATTGCATGTTGACACTTAGTGCGGTACATATACAAATTCTGGGGTGTATGGGAAGGAATCACTCAACAGGCTGACATATTTATTAGAGCTAAGCATTTTCCAGGTGTGAGATTGAGGGAGGATGATGCCTAAAACATTTCTTGGAACAACAAAAGTCATTGTATTAAAAAATAACTTCTTACATTTTGTGCCACCCTGACAATCATTCCTCTTAGAGTCCATTGCTGCACCACTGTGCTCATCTCACTGGGGTCTTATCTTTCTTGTTGACTCTCTACCAAGCACGAAGACTTTCTGTAGCTACTTAATTTTTTTCCCACTGTTGCACGTTTTCCTCCCCATCCCCAGCTCTCCCTGCAATACACCAGATTGTTGTCATACATATAATGTCTAAAGTTCCAGATTGTTGTCATAAGTATAATGCCTAAGTATATATTACTTTTAGGCAGTTCTTCCCCTCATCCGATCTAACACAGTGTTCATTATCTATCCACTCTTACCCCATTCTCTCCCCAACCCCCCACCATGTCTGTCATGTTTTAGAACACTGGTTTTATACAGTGTTTGTTCTTTTGTGACTGAGGTATTTCATTCAGCATAATGTCCTCCAGACTCCCCAATGTTGTGAATGTTTTACAAGTTCATTGGTTTTCAATGCTGCATAATATTCCATTGTGTGAATATACCATAGTTTTTTTATCCATTCATTTGTGGATGTGCACTTGGGTTGCTTCCATCTGTTTGCGATTATGAATAATGCAACAATAAACATGGGTGTGAGTACATCTGTTTGAGTCATGGCTCTGGTTTCTTTAGAGTATATTCCCAGTAGTGGAATTGCTAGGTCAAATGGTATTTCTATTTCCAACTTTTTGAGAACATGCCAGACTACCTTCTATAGTTGTTGTTAGGTGCCGTCAAGTTGAGTACGACTCATAGAGACCCTATAGAACAAAAAATCTGAACCCAGTCCTGTCCTGTGCCATCCTCACACTTCCTGACATGCAAGAGCCCATTGCAGCAGTCACCTTTTCAATTCACGTAGTTGAGGGCCTTTCTCTCTTTTGCCGACCCTCCACTGTTCCCAACATCATGTCCCTCTCCAAGGAATAGAACTTCCTAGCAATATGTCCGAAGTACGTGAGGAGAAGCCTTATTATTCTTGCCTCCAAAAAGCACTCCAGCTGCATCCTCTCCAAGACATATCTATTGGTTCTTTTGGCCATCCATGAGATGTCCAGTGCTCTTCTCCAGCACCACAGCTCAAAGGCGTCAATTCTTTTTCTGTCATCCTTATTCATTGTTCAGGTCTCGGATGCATATCTAGTAATTAGAAAGACTATAGCCTGAATCAGATGCACCTTAGTCCTCAAACTGACATCACTACTCCTCAATAATTTGGAAAGGTCCATAACTGCAGTTTTCCCAGTACAATGTGTCTCCTTGTTTCCTGACTGCTTGTACCAAGGGTGTTAATTGTGAATCCAAGTAAGATGAAACTATTGACAATTTCAATGTCCTCTCCATCTAACATGATACTGCCTATTGGTCCAGTGCGAAGAATCTTTGTTTTCTTGATATTAGAATGAAATCAATACTGAAGGCTGCATTCCTTGATTTTCTGCAACAAGTGCTGCAAGTCACCTTCACTTTCAGCAAGTAAGGTTGCATCATCTGCATAAGGCAGGTTATTGATGAGTCTCCCTCCAATCCTGATGCCACATTCCTCTTTGTAGAGTCCAGCTTCTCAGATAATTTGTTCAGCATATAGATTAAACAGTTATGGAGTTTGAATATAACCCTGACACACTCCCGTCCCAATTCCAAACCATGCCATGCTCCCCTGCTCTGCTCACACAACAGTCTCCTGACCCAGCTATAGATTCCTCATGAGCACCATCAAGTGCTCTGGGATTCCCGTTCTTTTCAATGTCAGCAACAACTTGTCATGATCCACAGTCAAATGCCTTTGTATAGTCAATAAAGCACAAATAGACATTCTTCTGGTATTCCTTAGTTTTAGCCAGGATCCATATCCCTGATGCCAAGGCTTTTTCTAAATCCTGCTTGAACTTGCGACAATTCCTTGTCTATGTACTGTTCCAGCCATTTTTAAATGACCTTAAGCAGTATTTTGCTTGCATGTAACATCAATTTTATTGTTCAATAATTTCCACATTGAGTTGGATCACTCTTTTTGTGAATAGGAACAAATACGGACCTCTTCTAAACCATTGGTCAGACAGACATCCTCCAAATTTCCTGGCATAGACTGGTGAGTGCATCCAAGTTTGCATCTGTTAATTGAAACAAGTCAATTGATATCCCA